CCAAGAGGACGGGAGAGAGAGAACAAAATCCTCCTCTACTCACAGTTCAGAGACTGCGCATTCACTCCTCTCTGCAGCTGCAGTGTTGTGCCTGGCAATAATCCCCGCTGTTGGTGACAAACTCCATAAAGGTGTGGCCAAACTCGCCGTAGAACTGGGGAAGACAAAAACACAATACACCCAAGTTAGTTTTAGTATCAGTAGAGGTTTTACGGCGCTCACAACTGCATACGGTCGTATGAGTGCCACAAGATAAGAGGTGTTACAACAGAGTAACAAACATAAAAAAAGAAGAAGGGGGGATAACGACGATAGATGTTAGACAGGAAAGAAGAAGCAAACCACACCAGAGCACCCGCCAACCACCCACACACCTAAGTTAGGACATTTGTTCCAGTGGGGGTTTTTGGGGAGCTAAAGCGAAGAGAAGCACATCAACACAATAACTGTCATTTGGTGCTGGGGAAAAAGTACTTTTAGTTTTAGTAAGAGTTTTACGGCACTTGCAACACAATAAGGTCATATAAGAGTGGGAGATTAGAGGTGTTACAACAGAGTAACAAATACAAAAAAGAAGAAGGGGGGATAAAAACGATAGATGTTTGATAGGAAAGAAAAATGCAAACCACACCAGAGCACCCGCCAACCATCCACATGGAAAAAGTAAGACCGATAGACAAACCTGACGGAAACGAAAGAAGTACAACATCGCTCGCAGTAGCTTTCTTCAAACACACATGGGTGAGGAGGGCAATTCATTAATTGTTTTAGTAAGCATTTTACAGCATTTTCATCACTTGAGAGCCGAAGATTAGAGATGTAACAACTAAGTAAGAAACACACAAAAAAAGAGGAGAGCGAGACAAGAAAGATAGATGTTTGATAGGAAAGAAGGAGCAAACCACACTAGAGCACCCACAAGCCACCCAATCAATCAAATATAAGAAAACACCCAATCACTTAAATAAAAGAACATTAAATTTGAAGTTTTCATCAGCCCCATATGAACTTGTGTGTGTGTGGGGGGG